GGAGCCATCCTTGTTATTTGCGATCTTTATCTCTCACGTAACGCAACATTTAAGATACCTCCTCATATTATGGCACTTTACCCGATGTTGTAGAAGTGTTTTTAGCACCGCGCGTCCCTGATTAAAGATTAAAGTTTCGCCGTGGAAACTTGAGAATAATTTTCTCAACTTTTTCCCCACTTTTGTCCCTCGTGGGACGCCCAAAGGAAACGTCGTTGCCGGGTCAATGCGTCTCAAGATTGCTTGGACGTTCTTTGTACCTCTTTCCTTTCCTCAACCTCGCGCCCTGTTGTTAATTATTCTTATTAAAACGAGCTCGCCGCGACACGCATACACGCGCATATATACGTGCAAGGCGATTAACTTAATAGCGGTGCGCGATAGCGCTATTTAAAGCGGCCCCCGGAACACGATCGCATAAATCGCAAGTTTTCAGCCGATAAAACGCACGCGCCTTGCACACGATGCCCCTCTCTCCCTCCCGATAAATTAGACGTAGTTAATGCAGCATGACCGATAAGAAATTGAACGGCTTTAATAAAGATCTACGACCCCTGACGCGCTTCTGAGGCTAACGCGATATCGTTTCTCGATGTTCATTTCACTCAATCGTTTTCTTTCAATCGTTAATGATTAACTGCGATTCTTCTCTTCTCGATATATATATATATGTGCGAAAGATTCCTCCTAGAATCGAGGTCGCGAGAATTGCGTTTTAATAAAACAGCGATGAGAGTCTTTACGCTACGCGATTTCATAGCTTTAATAACTCGCGTCATTCATGCGAATGTACGCTTTTTCGTAATTTAAGAGAATCGTGAAGTTGTATGTGAAGAATAATTTCGCGTGTGCTCCATTTTAAGAATATGTTGGAGCTTTTTATTTTTCATGCTACCCTCCTTTTCGCTGCTCTAAAAACAATAAATAGACGAATATCTCGTTTTATATGTCTAAAATTTGTTTTCGTACCACCCTCCTTTTCGCTGCTCTAAAAATGATTAATGACAAATATTTCATACGTCTACTATATTTTTTATTTCTCTCTACTATCTATATTTTTCATAAAATGGTCAGATTTTTCAGTCTTCCGTCCTATTTCGCTGCATTTCGTCTAAAACGATCAATGAGACGAATAATTCTCATTATCTCTCATTTCGCGACTGTGAAACGTCTCTGAAGAGTCAATTCTGTAGGGATGCCTCGCGTGCATGCGAGTCACGATCAAAGATTCAGAACGATTATCCGGATAACGAGACGAAAGAGGGTTAAAGAGTCGCTGAGAGCATTTCTAAGGTGCAGGACGCGTACGGTCACGTTTTTTACGGGTTCTACTCTCTCAAAGGATACGAGCTATCGCCCGACCGGGACTGTCAATTTCCATATCAAACGTCGTGAAATGTCGGCGATAAAACTGTTTGGAATAAAACATGGATTTCGAAATTCAGTCCTCTCACGATAGAGAAGGTGAAGGGGGATCGTGAAAACAGAATCAGAATTTATCGACAGGAGAGAGAGAGAGAGAGAGAAGAGAGGAGATAACCCAGCTCAGAACGCGATATTTATTACCGCCTCTTAAAATCTTTCGTCCACATTAAACGTGTTAGCAGTTAAATATGGATAATTGTATTAATCATCTACTTTGAGACGCGAAATTCGGTTACCTTTAATTGACTGCTGGAAGGCAAATCCATCTAAAGCTTTCCCCCAGTGCACTTTCGTAATCGATTTATATCTCTGTGTGCCATATTTCACGTTTATATTTAACTCGTAATTCCTCGAGTAAAATTAAATACATTTTTTTTCCACCCTGAGTATTTTTATTCCGAGCATGTCACGTTCCAAACCGGCCGGAGAGGTAGTCGAGGATTAATCCATGTCGTTTTAACAGCGCCGCATCATCGTAATTGTGCGTCGTTTTCCCTTAATTAACTTGAAATGCTGAGCTTCGCAGGAGCTTCGTCGATCTTTAAGCGAGATTGCCCCGCTTCTATTTGACCTTCTCTCGAAATGCTCTCTATCTCTCTCTCTCTCTCGTTTTTTTATTTTGACGCGATCTCGAACATCGTACATCTTTACGAGGGAATATATCGCAAGAATAAATGCGAGGTTTCTCGAAATCGAGATACGATCCAGGTTGACAAAAAATTCGGCGAGATGATGATTTCCGAAGGAAAGAATGGATGCGATCCACAGGCTAGATATGAAAATGGCACGAATTTTTTACGAAACGCGACATGAAGTACAAAACTGCTCATCTCTCTTTCTCTCGAGCGTATCGACGCGAAACCCGACATCGATAGCCGGGAAATGCGGGGTGTCACTCGGAAATTTCGATTGCCAACGCGAAACGCGATACACGAGAAAAGACGCGAACTCTCGAAACGGATGGAACGTGCGTTAAGTCTAGAAAGATAAGTCCGAATGAGGAGCCTCAAGGAGTCCGCAAAGACACGAATCTCTATTTTCTGCCTTTAATGATATACAGTCAAAATTATTTATTTATCACAAGCATAAATTGCTGCTGTTTCTCAGTAAGAGAAACTTACTTAAGATAACTAAACTGAAATAATTAAAACACATATGTATAATGTTTAGGTAAATACTTATATATTTAGCTGATTCGTACAATAAAAAAATAATACTGGCAACGTTACGATAGTAATCATTTATAATTCCATCGAACGACATAATAAAATAAAAGTCACATTAATTGTACTTAATGGTAATGATGGAAAATGTTAAAATAAACTTAAAATAAATACTTAAGACGCGAATCTATTTTCGCCTTTAACGATTACAATTATGTATCACACGAGAATAAAGTAATTTCTGCTCGATAAGTAGACTTTACTTAAAATAACTAAAATTAAAATAAAATAAAAATAATTCAAACATATAAATTATAATTAAACGCTTACACGTTATCGAATCATAAAAAAAAAAAATAATGCTAGTAATGGTGACATTACGATATTAATTCCATCGAACGGCATAATAATAAAAATCATAGTAATTTCAACGATAAAACGATCTGTAAAATAAATGCTCAAATTGCTTTCAAACGTGTTGTGCTCCTATGTTTAACTTATCTTTCGTGTGTCTAGAGGTGTATAAACTTATTTTTTTCTCGTTTATCTCAAATCTCCTAAATGTAGGTACAATGTAGCCAGAATATCGAGACAAAAAAGTCAAAGCCGAGAGGGAGCGTCTGGCGAACGTATTCGGGGCGCGTACACGCACGCCCGTGTGTACCGCACGCAATGCGGGAAGGTAAAAGGCGTAGGTGGACGGATCGATAGAGCAGGTGGCAGCACGTCGGTGCTCTCCCTGGCTCGCTTCCGGCGCGGCGGAGAGTCCAATGACACTCACCAGCCGATCGAACGATTGGCCTGGCACGATTATGAGAAATAAATGTTAAGGCTAATGGGAGGGCACAGATGGGGATGCGCAAACATCCGTGATAGAGCTCCGTTTAATTAAGATGCCATGGCGGATTGTAATGTCTCGGGTTTACTGAGATCAAAATATTGCCTGATTGCTTTTAATTGATCTTCCGGGTGAATCCGATAAGTCCTCATAATTTCTTCCAGGCTCTTCCCTTCGCTTCCATTTAAATCGAGTTGGACTGCTTTCAGCGTTGTCTCGAAATTTTATCGTAATCGTCGTACTTTTCAATCTTGGCGGTAGTCAGATATGGGGATTTTGCGAAGGATGAATACTTGTATACTACTTTGATAAATGTTCCTAGTCTGCCGAGATAGTGTTCATTTTCAGCATCAGAATAATCAACTCTTGCTTCTCCGGTCAAATATAAAGCCTCGACGTGATAACTCGCCGGAGCTGTCAAAACTGCTGCCCTTTTATGCGGAATAGCTATAAATTCCTGTATATAAGGACATAAAGGAGCATAAATCTTACTTTTGACTAGCTTTTTGCTAGCTTCATATGCAATATTAAGCCGACGTGTCCCAGCAGGCATTGAATTGAAGTACTTGAGCATATCTGATGATAGCGTTAGGTTTGCACCAGTAGCTTGAACTATGGGGGTTGCTTCACGAATGAATTTTATACCGGCTTTACTAAGCACTTGAGACTGCTTGCGAAGAGTCCGAGACTCTCCGTGGCACATACCAATTCATTACTAATTTGGTTGTTGTAAAAAATGTTTAAAATCTCCTTTACGGGACCTTGAAGACCTCCTTGGCCTGTATGATGATTCATCGTCCAATAATTCGCCTTGGTTGCTATGATGATGGTCACAGCCACTTGCATCTTCTCAAGCGTTATGAGGCGTTCTACGGTAGCCTTTTCTTCTTCAGATACGCTTAGCTCGATCGAGGATGAGGATCTCTTCCAATTTCCATCGGGTACATCTGAACCCGCATGAGTGCAAATTAATCCAAGATCGATCGCAGCGGCTATCCCATTTAGGAAGAGCTCCCGGGCTGCAACTTCATGGAACTGATTCAACCCCCAGGTTACAGCATTGTTTTTTACCATTGTGACACTAGCTGGTTTTCCTTGTTGTATAAGTATCGGTAGTTTTTTTTCATCTGGTAAAGGGCCCAGATCTATGTTTGGTGCTATACCAGCTTCTATCATCCCCCCAAAGGAAGGTAGGTTAATAATTACTTCAGACATGGCGGGCGGTTTCCTATAGTGGTATAAAGAAGGGTTGCAAACAAATTTTAAAAATACTGTAATCTGTTTAGCTAAATACGATAATATTCATGTCTTAATCCCTGGATTTATAACTTGCTAATAAAAGGTCGCGAAAAAGCAAGGATGACTCTAAATTTAAATCGAGTGAGGGATCTTATTGTCGGTTCGATTATAAAGATTTCGCAGATAATTTTTTTGGTAAAAAAATATTTAGTGCTCTTTAAAAACAATAGTTTTGTTCAACAATAAGTTTCGCATTCGCAGTTGATCGGATTTGTACGTGTAAATATTAATGCGCCGCTCGAAACGAGATCATGCCAAGAATTTATTGTACTTACTTTGCGAATATCTTCTAAATTGTGAATTTCTGGCGACAGACCACCGTGCACGCACAGGAACTGTTGATTCATAAGAGCTGCGAGTGGCAAACAGTCGAAGGCATCCATGCACGCGTCGTACACCCTCTCGGAGTATTTTATTTTACCTGAAAGCAGAAAGAGAGAAATTCAAATTGAAGCAATACAATTACCTCTTCACGCGGCTAAAAGATAAAGAAATTCACAATTCTATCAGCGTCGTGACATTTACGGCTGTAGAAACGTGTCAGGTCGCTTCCCGACGAGTTTTACGACGACTAACTTTTTACGAGACGAAACGAGGTGAATCGGACAAACGCGTTTAATTCGTCGTGCGCTACGAAGGAAATAAAGAGAAGAACCAACGCCGTGGCCATGGGGGAGCCATGAGAAAGGATACGGACAAGCGAGTCGGAATACGCATAGTCCCGCTATACGTACGGCCACCATTTCGCGAACGAGCCGTAAAAAGGATGGCGAACACGGGAGCTATTTTACGTCTCTCCCGCGCGTCCTCCGCAGAATAATGGATATTCTGCGACGACGACGAAGGATGCCGCGCCGCGGTTCGTCCACGCCTGTTCTGTGTCACGCCAATTTCGCGACCTAAGCACTCCTCCTCTATCGTACAAGTGCGACCGACATATATACAGCCCTCTCTCATCTGCTTTCGCACGAAACCCCATCGTATAAACTTCATGCGCTTGCCACCGTCGTCTCATTTCTGAAGTAAACCTCCCGCGTCTTTTTTTTTTTCCTCAAGATTTCGAGGTATAATTATTCTTAACTTGTACGATGTTGTCTCGTGAAAATTAGAGAACGAGAAATTTTAAATTTCAAGAGGATTTCGTGAGAAGCTCGTTTTTCTCTCTTTTTCTTTCATATAGTTCTCTTTCAAGATACGTGACCACGGAATTCCTCACAAAAGACACTTTATATTTGCTTCGTCGACGGTTCGAGGTCCGTCGAATCCGATGTTCGAGGTGACGCGCGAGAAGGATTCCCTGCCAATAAAACGGAGTAGCCTCGACAGGATAAAGATTTGTCGGCGCTGAGACTAAACGGATCGCTGCTCGAGGGCTTTTACGAGGTCTCGCAAATGAACGACCCGACTGCTGGACGTGAGAGGTCTCTTTGAGGTTGCAGATTGAAGTTTCGCGAAACGGATGTCCGCAATATCGCGCCAAGGAAAAAGCTCCTGCGTCTCGAAATTATTAAACGAGAAAAAGAGAGAGACGCTCTCTCGAAGATGTTGGGGGAAAAAAATCGGTCATCGAAAATTCGTAGCACAAGAATGCATAATCTAACAAAATAATTAATAATTAAGAAAGGAGCGAGAGAGAAAGAGGATTTATTAATTATAAATATAAAATTGCACGAGATGGGGTTGAAGTCTCAGAAATTTTTCACAAAGAGACGAACTTAAAAGATAATGAGAAATTCAAATAAATAATTTCAGCAGAGAGAACAGCTCTCTTTCTCTCTCTCTCTCACTAACCAGCTATGCAGCGGCAACCGATGGTCGCGCGCACAGCATTTTGCTTTATTTCCGTCGCAGCGAAATGCGCGCGCGTCGGTATTTACCGCGATGAAAATGGTTTCGGCGAAATCGCCGACGATTTAATTGCGCGTTCGTTCGTTCGCGGACAAACGATCGCTTTTGGCGGCGAAGTCCATTTCGAAACGACACCACCAGCTATTTTGGCACGCGGCCAGCGCGTCCCGGCTTCTTGCTCGGAACGCGCCCAAGCGGACAAGATCCCCGGCCGGGATAACGCGTTTCTCGAGCCCGGTTCCCGAGATGAAGCCGCTCTCGGGGAAGCGCGAACGCTGGCCTCCAGCGTAACGCGTCGCGAAACGTAGCCAAGAAATCGCGCGGCACGGAATATCGCGTTCCGAATCAAAAAGAGATCAAAATCTGCCTTCCGATAACGTAAAGAATTTATATAAAATCGCTATACGTAAGTTTGACGTGAAATTTGATATCGAGAGCAAAATGAAATTTGTTGTAATATTATTCCTCCTAAAATAAGATAAATAAATAAAAAAAAGATATAAATGAAATATGTTCGACAAAATTTACTATGTACATATTAATATTTTTTATTGTGACAAATATTAATCAAAGAAACTCTGATAAAATTTTTCCAATACCATATATTGTCCCACGATTAAACATGATTTTCAGGGTAAATTCTAAGAGAAAATTCTCTCCGTGTGTAAGTACAGAATCAAATATGAAAAGAGCTGATTAATTATTTTGAATTTTTTGATTGAAGAGGAGAAATATAGAGAGGACGGAAATGCAAATTGAGACACTTAAGAAGACATTTTTTTTACTAATCGATATTAAAATAAAAAAATTTTGTTGCGCCTGGCTCTTCTGTGTTCTGACAGATTGTAAATATATTATTAATAACATATTTGATAAAAAAAACAAAAAAATAACTAATGGGATAAAGTTCGCTTTAAAGATCGCAACTTTGTCTATTCGATGTGAAATTTTCATACACGGGATCGAAGTCAAATCACCGTACATTATACGAGATACGATGGTAAAAATGATATATTTGTGGTGTACGAGATATATGGCCGCAAGGAGCAACCGCACATTTATCTTGATAGAAGCGGTATCGGACTTCTCTATATGTCACGGTTAAGCGCGTTACATTTTTCTCGCGTCATTGTTGCCCGAATTGGCGGAAAAATGTTCGTGCGGTGTCGCAAAAACGCGGGAAAAAATGCGGTCGGACGGGATATACTCTAGCGAACGATATATATTATCATGAAAACCACTCGACATTTCCGCGATATTATGCTCGCGTTAAATGAACGCGATAGGATGCATTTAGGTTGTTGCGAATCGCGTTTTTTTCCCTCTTTTTATCGACATTACAATCCACTCGTAATTTTTTTAATGCAAAGAAAAATTCGCGCGTAACAGTTTCGAGAGGACTAGCTGTCGTAACTAAATATGCCTTCGTTAAAGGAAGAGGAGAAAAAAATGGGAACGAAAAGAATCTCACCCCCGTCGTTGCTTCTGGGGTGCGAGCGTGCTATCGCGACTTCGTATCGCGAGGAAAAGCTCGAGCCGCTGGAGATAATCGCAATTTTCTCGATCGGCTGGCACGTGAATGCCGACGTAATAGCGGCAGGTAACTAGGTCGCGTAAATAGGCGGTTGTGGAAAAAAAAAGGAAAAAAGAATATACACACGCCCCCGCGTCGGCTGCTCCTGAACGCGGTCGCCAATAATAAATGCACGGCGAAATCTCCGCGTTAAAACGATGATTAAAGCATAGTGTATGCGCGCGCGCGCATTCGTGTGCGTATGTGTGTTTCCGTGTGCTGAGGGATTTTCGCGGTTATTGTGGTTATTAAATGCGCGTGCAATCGGGGTCACACAATGCGTGCGCGAGCGAGTTTTCGGGACGACCTAACGCGCAAGCTCTCGCGTTTCCCTTAATAATGCGGAATGCCAGAAATGGCGCATTCGTGCTGGATTTAAGAGGAAATTAGAACTTTTTTTTCTGTTCTCCAAACGGCGCGGACGACTCCTCCCTCTGGAGAATCCCGACCTCACGAATTGCGTAAAAATGCGACGCTCGTTTTCCTCCCGTTGCGTTGTTGCTCTCTCGCGCCAGTCAGTCTTCGCTTTTAATAAGAGAGCTATGAGCGTAGAATACAAAGGCGAAGGAATACGAGCCAAGTACAATGAGACGGCGTATAAAGCGCTTGATAACGCGTAAAATATATTTAGAATCTGTTTAAGAGCGTTAAGCAAGATTTATATCCGACATTTGTAATTGTAATTAATCTATATATTAATGCACCGGAAGAATTTATACTTGTAATGCAGATTAAAAAAATATATATTTTCTGTTCTAAAAATGATTAAAAAAAACAAATCTCGTTTTTTATGATGAATCGAGATATAAAATCGGAGAAAAGCGAATAACCAAAAGAATTCCGTCCTCTTGATAAATCTATATATTAATGCACCGGAAGAATTTATACTTGTAATGCAGATTAAAAGAATATATATTTTCTGTTCTAAAAATGATTAAAAAAAAAAAAAAAACAAATCTCGTTTTTTATGATGAATCGAGATATAAAATCGGAGACAAGCGAATAACCAAAAGAATTCCGTCCTCTTGATAAATCTATATATTAATGCACCGGAAGAATTTATACTTGTAATGCAGATTAAAAGAATATATATTTTCTGTTCTAAAAATGATTAAAAAAAAAAAAAAAAAAAAACAAATCTCGTTTTTATGATGAATCGAGATAAAATCGGAGACAAGCGAAGAACCAAAAGAATTCCGTCCTCTTGATAAATCCCATCATCGGGACGAGCTGGAATGCGACGCGCAACAGCTCGAGAGTTTCGCGCAGCAGAAACCGGCGTCTCGCGGAAAAGTGTATCGATCGCGGAAAATTGTCCGATACTAGGTCAGCCCGCGAGTATTTGCGAGGTGCCTCTCTCTCTCTCTCACCATCCCTTCTTCCCTCGCCGCGTCTCGTTTACGACTCGACTGACGGCGATGCATTACGAGCCGCGAGAGTGTAATGCAACGACGCGATCTCTCTCTCTTTCTCTCTCGCGGAGACGATGCAGGCGCCGGCATCCGGTGTCTGCGAGAGGATCGACGGGTTAAAATTCGCCGGAGATACCCGCGAAGGGGATGATCCAGACACTTTGGCGTGTGTTAAAATAGAGACCTCTCGACTTAAATGCCCGTTCGACCTTTCCGCGTATCATTTGCTTAATGCGCGATATGCATATTCCATGTACGAGCGAAGAGGACACCCAGGTCGCGGCAACAGCTGTACATGGTATTAAATAGCCTGCAAATTTGGAGAACCTTCGCGCTCATAACGTGTAACGTGTGGATTTAACGCATAATCTTAAAGTCCGGCTGCGGACGGAGCTGGATTCTTTAGTTCTCGTCGAATGCGATTTAGGCCCGATTGCGTCAACATTATTCTGGCTTTAAGCGAGAGTTAAATATGTATTTATCTTAATTTTTTTTCCTAAATAAAGATAATACATATTTAAGTGTCGCTTAATGACGTTGATGCAATCAGACACCTTAATAGGGCACACATCAGCTAAAGGGCTAATTATGCGAGAACGCAGAGGCGTTTTATCAGGTCGATATTACGGGTGGAATTATCGCTACGATCAATCGAGCTTCATTATATAACAGAAACATGTGACGTATCTTTTTTACGAGTTTTATAAAAGATATACACGACGCGATTATACGACGTTTTTCTTGTTCGTTCATTTATTAAACGTAACAATCCTTGTGCAAAGTGAAAATAAAGATAACATAAATGCAAGATTGTTTACGTAATCATATGTCGCTTCGTATAATTATAGAGCAGTTTATTTTCAGAATTAAAATCGTCACGCAATAATATATACGGTCTTGACGAAAGAAGATGTAGCAAAATAAAAAAGTCTAAAGTATAACGCAATATAAATTAATTTGATCAACATTTCACTAATCATCGATATACAACGTTATAGGAAAATTAAATAATCGACCAAATTAGCGAGAAATCAATTTTATTAATCTTCACGACGTTTCGACCATGCGATTTTGGTCCTTCTCAAGTGAACAATCAAATCATAACAAAGGTTCACAAGTTATTGCCGAAATTTCTGTCTTTTGTCATATACAATTACATGGTCGAAACGTCGCGAAGATTAATAAAATTGATTTCTTGGAATATCTACGTGTATTTTTAATACAACATTATGTTTAAAACAATACTTCCTAGAATGCATTTATATATTTTTTAAAAATTTACACAACATATATGTATATATATACACATTGTAATACTTTGCAGATTTGAATATTTCGAAATTGTCCATTCGACTATATTAATAAATAATATTTTTCAATAAAAGATTTACATCAACAAATAATCTCTTCGTGCACAATTCATACCTTTATGTATGTTTATCTTTGAACTTTACAACGCGACAGATTTCATAATTTTTACTCAGCTTTTTGGTGTACTTTTGTAAAAGCTGCACTTTGTTACGTGAACTCTGTAATTATGGCATGCGCATATGTTGGCCGCGCGAGCTCGCGATGTAGATGAGACGCATAAATTTTGCCGCGAGGTAATGGGAAGGGGAACTCGCTAATCCACCTTACCAGGCAACATCGCCGTAACTAACGAGCCGGAGGACTTAATCCGAGTTGCGAATTATTAAACAGGAAATAATTTCTTATTACGATGTGAAACAAAGCGCGGCGGAACAGCCGACTTAAAATACGTAGAGCGATTAAATAAAAAATTTAAGTTCGCGGAAAATTAATGCTTCGACCTTGACATCGAAGCGATAAGAAGCAAAATCATCATTTCATAAGCGTTATTTGAGCTTAATATACATATTATTTTTCAATTATGCATCCGAGAAGGAAAATTCGTATGTAACTTGCGAGAGGGTTAATTACTTACATTCCTGTTTAAACGTGAAGTATTCCGTGAGATGACGGCACTCGTGGTTACCTCTGAGGAGGAAGAGTGTGGTGGGATGGCACAGTTTCAGCGCCCACAGGTACAATACGCACTGGAACAGAAATATGGAAATGTGGGCGTCAATCACAAATGGCGCAATCGTAACCTTTTTTGTTACCTTCAGATATAAAGCGATATTTACAGTCAATGTGATATAGAAAATATTATTAGGATTTTATTTAATATATATAATTAATACTTAATATAATAATTATATTTAGTATAATGAATATTCAATATAAAAATCCGCAGTACGACACGACACGAACGGTCCGCACTCCTATAACGATGGCAGAGGACTGACTGTCGGATCTCAGGTCGCTGCTCGTCCTAAAGAAGAAACAGCCGACAAATGAAGACTTATCTGTTCGGCGGCGGCAGCGGAAGGATCCGGTTATCATAAAACGTCGAAAGCGCGCGTGTAATAACAAAAGTCGGCTCCTGCGGCTTATCAAAGGATTCGCGACTATTATATGATCGAAACACGAGATTACGCGAGTGGGTACATATGTTAAACGTATTTTTAATCCTGCAGTATCTTTTAATTAGCATGAAGTGCACTTTGATTCGTCAATTTATGTCGGAGCTTCGCTTCTATACATAATCACCGGAAAATTGAAAGTTAAAACTCATTAATACGCAGATTATGTATCTATATTAAAGAACTTTCAACAAGCAATTAGCAGTCCGAGAGTTTATCGTACAAGCGCAATCGTCGGCTTAAACGCGATAAATACTTGACAAGGTGAGAAAACGGAAGGGAGAATAAACCGTGTTGAGAAGAGAAGGACAAAAACATTCATATTCAAACTAGAGCTTTGCGATTGTGTCCCGCATCGACACAATATCGAGATGTCTCCTCTAATTAAATCGAAACAATCCTACTCCATCGAGCGAAGATCCGTCCCCGGGTTTGATCGGCATTCCCCGGATTTAATTGCAGAAACTTGCATTCAACGCGAATTCGAGCAACGCAGATGCATCGGCAGATTACATCCGCATTCGGACTTCTCGCGAGATATCCTCCCTCTGTAATTTAACGCGCTATTAATCAGGACATCGGTCGGAGATAGAGACTGGACTGGAAACGCAGCCTCTCGCTCAATAACATCGGTACATTAATAATAACCATTAATAATAATAATAATAATTTGCGCGCAGCAAACCGCGCGCGCGCGCGCGTGTGTTAAAGGTGAGCGATTTGGCAAGACGAAGATCTCGTCGTCGTCGGTTTCATCGTCTCGTAAAAATGAATTGAGTGGCGAAAGCCACTCACAAAGTTGCATTTGGCTTGCGTTTCGTGTATATGCGATGAAAATATAATTGCGCATTGCATCCAGTTATATATGCGTTACCTAGGGCGGAATTATTTGGCAAACTCGACGATAACTGTACTTATTGCAAAATTTCAGAGAAAATAATAAAATAATAAATAAAATATAAAAATAAATGCAAAAGCATTAAATATAAGAATAAAATAATATAATAAAAAAATAAAACATGAAATAATAAAAAAAGAATAAATTGAGTGAAATGAATGTTATATATAAAAATAATGTGAAAAAATATGAATGATAAAAATAGCTTAAAAAATTGTAGGGGAAAAAATGTATAATCCTGCTCGCATGTTGATCAATGAGCAAGCAAGTTTATATGTATAAATGTTTCGGATTGCGGGACTTTAACGCTCTTTCACTATAACAATCGGTCGGGAATCGGCTGTTATCGGTGCAGTTAGAGGCGCGTTACGCGCGGATGCATCACTAATTAATATTATTCGTTGTAACACACGGACTACTGACCCGCATTAAATTGGCAAGGGCTGTTGCTAACGAACGGACCGGGGGATTTCGCACGAATTTTGCGCGCTAATTAACCTCGCCATTCGCGAATGCGGCGGCTGTAATGACGACTCCATTAGATGTACGGTTTCGAGGGGAAAATGAGAGATGGACAGGATCCGCCATCTCGTCGGATCTTTTATACGTGGCCAACATTTGTCCATGGCGCTCGTTTGGTCGAATCTATTTAATAATCGCGCGGTGACGCGGCAGGTTTTAAATAGACTTCATTATGGACGAACAATGCGAATTAAATTAAAGCTTTTACAGATGTCGCGTGTTCGTTGATAATTTTCTCCATCATGGAAAATTCGATTCCGATGAGTAATCTATTCCTAAAACGTTCCTGGCACAAATACGCTTCTCATCAGTCTCCATTTTCCCTTATTATATTATAGAGTCAAATTTGTTTACCAATTTTGACTCTATTTTTCTCTTTATCGAAATTTAGATTGCCACTTTTGCCACTAATTGTGCCACTTTTTTTCGCAATTTTTTCAACTTTACGTGTAAGATATCTTTCGGCAACTGTATGTTGAATTTAAGTTTTGCTAAAGTAAAGCCTGCACAAATTATCTGTAAAATAAACTTTTATTATCTGTTAACAGCTTCAAAGTTTAGTTTTGAAAAAGTACTGGAATTTTGTAACTTTTGACTACTGATAGCGGAAAACTTGCTGGCGTTTTGACATTTAAGTACACAGAAAGAAAAATTAAAAGATTTAAAGAAATGCGCGTAATAATATTTAAATATATATATATATATATATATATATTTAAAATTATTTTTTTCTAGAAATTATTTCTTTAAAAAATTCCCACCCAACAAAAAAAAGAAAATAACTTTTTCATTCTTTCGCGATTGCCGTAGATATTATTTTCGATAAGAAGCTGCAAATAATTTCAATATTGTAATCTTACGTAAAATAAGACAGATGTGATTCCGATTAAAATCGCTGGACCAGAACGTTTAACCTTTTGTGCATCAAATCAATACCATGGAACTAGCGATATCGCATCGCGGCTGGGAGATAGAGGTAAAGAAATGTCACACGTTCAGAGATATATAGCATATTTATCTCGCTCCCTCTGTTCTCTCTCTCTCTCTCTTCCTTTCGCTTCGGAAGATCAGGCCGTGATGATGCTAACACGTCACGATTGGATATCGATACATATACGGTTTTTTCGATTTTGCACGACGCCGCACTGCGGGATAAATCTTCGTACCTATATCCTAAGGCCATATAGGAGCCACGGCGGCAATTTTTTTCTTAGACTTTCGAGGTCAATTATTTTCTCCCCGCTGACCCGATCGACTGTCTACCGTCAATCCCTCTCGCAGCCCTTCCCTACCACCATTGTCCCTTTGCGAAGTCAACGGAGCGGTCTCTTTCTCTCGCCTTGCTCCGCCGCTATAATTACACGCGAGGGCCTTCATTGCCATTGTAACGAAATAATGCACTCGGCCATCGCGTTGTGTCGTCCTTCAGATTCCGTTGTGGCTCGCTCCAGTTGCACGAGAGAGCGAATATCGTTTCCTCTTTCGACGATCCTTTGCGCGAAAGACGTATATGAGAAAAAAAAAATTGACGTATGATCTGTCAATTGGATTCGTGTGTGTCACATTTTAAAATTTTTAAAAAATCTGAATATTCATTATTCTCGTAAATTGATATTATTTTTATCGAAATAAAATGTTTCTACGCGTGTCTATATATTTCAGGATTGTTTTCATTATTAAAAGCACTCTAGGGCCTCTTTTAATTGAAATATCAACCAAAAGAGATGTCGGTTAAAAATTTTTTTCCCTCATAAACGTTTGTATTATTATCCGGAAACAGTAGCATCCGTCATTATTTCTTCTTTGTAAACATTTTTCAACATTTCATAATTTCTTGAAAGTATATTTCTCCAAGAATGTTTTAATAATAATTTTTAATATTTTCTCTCTGCTCTCTCTCTCTCTCACTCTTTCAAAGTATTACTCGACATTCTTGACGCAAAGAGATATTTCGTTAAATAAAAAAATTACTATGCGCATATTATTTACACGCAATAAAACGAGAATTATATAACAAAACGCAATGAAAAAATGTAATGATAAAAAGACACACGTTCACGAATCTGATTGATCGGCTTCGTAATCTTGGAGCTTGTCTACTCTTGCATATTCTAAACTATGAAAATACCTTCATACAAGTGCGAGAAATTACTCGAGAGAATTTGAAGGAAATTTCCTCTCCTGCGAGGATGTGATTTTCGAGAGAACACACGCGGAATAAGGTTCTCAAACGAACGATCATGGCGGACGGAACTTGTTCTCGTCAGCGCGCGCTCGGCGTCTTCTCTTTAAGCCCTCGGATCCTCCCTTTACATTCCCTATCCTCTCTCTCGCACAGACTCTCGGCTGATCGGGAGCGAAAGTTTCCATCGAACGTGTCGCCGTCAGAGAAAAGGCCTCGGATCTGCGGAGGAGCCATCGAAGCATATCGCACATATAGAAAGTATCGATCTCACGAAGATTCGATGCTGCTACCACGTGTACACACACACACACATACACGTGTAAGACACACGCATATAGATATTTGCATCACGCAGCATCTATCCTCTTAAAACGTGAGACGAACTCCTTTCTCGGCATCAGCCGCCGAACGGAGCATCCTTGAAGGATTGAGGAGCATCTTTCCGCGTCGACAGAAAACCCCTTTCATACGAGGTTGCACACGCGACACCGACCGATTTATAATGCCATTTACAATCTGGGAGAGACGAAGAGATGAGAGAGAGAGAAGGTGGTCCATTTTCTTCGTAAGAGGGATCCGCCGCTCTCGAGCATTGTGCCGTATAAAATAAGAAGAGAACTCGCGTTCCATCTCGTGTCTCCCCGTGAATAGATCGGCTTCGCAGAGTGCGCACGGAGACTCGTAAATACGATCGAATAACCCGCATCCGTTCGCACACTCCGGCGAAATTATACCCTGGAAAGGAGGAGGGAAAATTTTCTCTTCCTCGTCTTTCGAAAAATTCCGCAAATTTTCGAAATTTATTTTCCCGAATGGAGAAAATGGAAACTGTTCACGAAATGATCTCGCCTCGACGACACGGAGGGATAAACTTAATGAAGAGGATATTTTTCACGTAAGAGATTTATATCCCCGGTCGATTTTTAAAGGGAATTCTAAAAAACGGCCAATTGGAGCCATCTGTCATCCGACCCTTGATTAGAAACGGCCATTCACGACATTCACGGCTTTAAACTGTCGACATTCGTGTACGTCGTAAATCTAACTGCGTGTTTCGTAAGAGACGACAACATGAATTCGTCGTGCATTATTCAGAATTCGCAAAGACGTATATCTCGATGTGAATAACAACGACCGTGGAATATTTCTTAAAAGCAGTCCTGTCTTGTAAGATGTACTTGGCGAAAAATATATTTAAACCTTGATACGCGCAGCTCGCCACGTGTAATACCACGTACAATATTGGATTGTCCCCCATTCCTTCCCGAGTAAATTTTTACACTCGACGGAGATATTGCTGTATAAAATCCGATGGCTTTCGTTACACAAGTTGAAAATAGTATTTTCACGAATGCTCATTCACTCCAAATTGTCCGAATCGAGAAGGAAAAGAAATAGCTGAAAATTAATTTTCGACCGTTCTTCTCGTTCCCAAAATTAATTAAAGAATCCGCGGAAAAGATATATATCTCTTTAATCCGACACAGATAAATTCCAAAAAAGATAAAGTCTTTAAAATATTTAAGAACTTTATCGTCAGCATCGAAATTGCGGTGTATCGATTTCTCTAAAAAAATATAACTCCAAGATTGCATATTCTTCAAGACATACATACATACATCATATATATATATATATATATATATAGATCTGGTACGTGTTGTCTGCGAAATTTCGTGTATATCGCGCGCGCGGTTTACGACAATCGTTCATAGTAAAAACAAGAAAAAACTTAGTCGTTTCTTCCTTCGCTCCTCCGGTCTCTTCCGATTACGGAATTTGTTGCAAAAGGAAATTGTTCATTACCTTTACCGGCGTAAAAAATTTCACGAGATTGCGAAAGGAGCGTCGCGAAAGGAGCATCACTCGAGATGCTACTCGGAACGGTTCCATCCCTTGGTGCATTCTCCCGTTCCAATGGCGCAACGGAGCGAATATTGCGTTATACGTCGACGCGAAACGTATATATATATATATATATATATATACTATACGCTACGTCCGTGACGAAATTTTATCTCGCTAAATAGACCGTTCGCGTTCGGATCGAAGTTGATTATTCGTGCATGCACCGAAATTGCATTCAGGAACGTGCGCAGCGAATGCACTTTACAGTGTGTACAGAGTCCCTTTCTTCCTTGACTGTTGCGAAAATAGGGATTCTTTGCCCGGGAAAAATCTAAAGACGTAATTACAACTGGTCACAATAGTGGGATATCCAATCGCTATACCTACGTTTGACGAAACAAAGAAAAAAGAAGAAAGTTGGCTCCCCACAAAGAAACAAATTTTATAAAACGAGATTCGCGAAATAGAGCGAACGAAAGCAAGGAGCAAAATTGCAGCCCAAATACGATATTGTTCGTTGACTTTTCAAAAAAAAAAAAAAAAAAAAAAAAAAAATATTACTACGAATACACATACATGTAAAATATCAAGAATGTATATAAAAAATTAGACAAATGTTCGCCCCTTTAAAAGTCAGAGATTTTCCAAGAAGCTTGTAGACTATTAAATTTCAGTTTTAATCAGCTCAATCCGTAAATGTCACGACGTTTGCGACATTTATGTGATATCAAAGCGAGCTTCTAACAGAATTAACGCTTTTTGCGTTCACTACTCGAGCTGAATAAACAGACGCGACTCTCAACGATTTAATAAGTAATTAATCGAGACGCGCGCTAATTGTAGAGTCCGATAATTAAGTGGTATAATTACCGATAATTAAGCGTATAAATCCCGAGGTAAAGCTTTTTTTTTCACCGAGAAATCGCAGTAAGGTAAATTTTTATCGCTATTTGCATTGTATATCCAGCTATACATATCGATATCGGTTACGATATCGACGCGATTAACTCTTAATACGTAAAATGTAACATTTTTCGTGCGATTGAATTTAATAATTAACAGCGTCGCGAGTAATTTTTGACACTGCATGCCTTTTACTCACCTCGATACTGAAATAACCCCTGTCAACGTAATCGCCCAGGAAGAGATATTTGGTCGAGGAGGGTGGCCCGCCCACCTCGAATAATTTCATCAGGTCGTAGAACTGTCCGTGAATATCGCCGCATACTGAAACCAAAAATAGTATCGAAATTACATGAATGATGAAGGAAGAGAGAGCCCTTTTGTATAAAGGAGAAACTAGGGAAGAAGTAATTAATGCGTCGCAAAATTACGTAACACGACGCTATATATTTCCGAAGCGTCGAATTACGAGATAAAAGCGCGCTATTCGCTCAAAAATAAAAAAGAAGCTCGAAATTATCCGGTGCGCGATTAATATAGCGCGATTAAAGCGCATCTTGCCACGATATATATATATATATATATATAGACATTAGCGACCCTTGAGAGTCGGTAAACTTGTTTGCGAACGTTTCAAAGTGAAATTACGCTCCCGTGTCGTAGAGGATGCCGAGACGAGGCGGGAAACTTCAAGTTCTCGAAACCGAAAACTATTAGCGACCAGAAGTGACGTCACGGTACTTTGACGCGGTATCGCCGTGGCGGTTCGCTATTCGTTTCTATAATATTGTCTCGCATTGTGTATCATTACAAAATTATACGTGTACAATTATTGTACGTCGTTGCACGTCTATAAAATCGAAGAATCGAAAATTCTTGATTTCTCTACTCCATTTCTTTCATTTCAATCGTTTCTATAATATTGTCTCGCATTGTGTATTATTACAAAATTATACGTGTACAATTATTGTACGTCGTTGCACGTCTATAAAATCGAAGAATCGAAAATTCTTGATTTCTCTCCTCCATTTCTTTCATTTCAATCGACAAAAGTCATTAACACGTCGCTATTAATAAAAATGGAAGAATAGAGTGTTTTTACAATATTTTCAAAACTCGAAACTCCAACAATAATACGAGGAGATCGGGACAAGAGGCGAGAGAAGTTTGAAGACACGTAAAAAATGTATCGCAAAGTGTAACATACAGAAAGAAAGTATGACACGTTGAAGAGAAAACGGTAAACTGTTATACACGACGATAAATGAAGGTTCATAAACACGTTGCAACTCGGAAACTTAGTTTTCCACCATTCCAGCGGAAACTATCGGAGGTCTAGATATATATATGTCCGTGTGTGTAACTGCATTGTAAGTGCATTGTGTCCGTGTGCCGGCATAACATCATAGCTTATGACTATCAACTATTTTTATATTATTCACCGCGTGCAATACGTTACGCCGATGCTTTCGCAACATTTTCCGATACCGTTTCGTTGCAGAGATGCAAACCAATAAAATCGCTCACAAACTATGCAGTGCAGCAGTCTCGGGTCCGCTGTGATAATCAAGTAAAAAAAGCGATCCACAATCTATGTAGCTTTACGCCAGATACTCGCTGAAAAATCGCGCGGAATCTATTCAAGGGAGAAAAAAATCACGGATCCTCCTCTCTCTTTATTATTTAAAAATTCTTGCACCATCTCTCTCTCTCTCTCTCGCTATTATTCACCGTTATTGAAAAATTTTGCATAGGTCTTTTCAAACATCGGTGTATCGGTATAATAACGCGCGATGAACTTTAATCTTCCTCTACCGGTTTTACAAAATTTTTAACACGGAGACAAAACGTTCGTTTCCAAGAGGGAGAAAGAGAGCTTCGGCGTTTACATAAAATATTTTATCGCGAAACAAAGAGCGAACAGGACCGACGACGCTTTTTGTTCAACACACGCGGTGATGTATCTTGCGTTAATACGAGTGGGACCCTGAAACTGGGACACACCACGTCGCACACGTAAAGCAACGAAATATGAGGCAGCGAGCTGACGGCGCGCGAATACAGGTCTATAAAGATAATTGAATCGAGATCGTATTAACGTAGAACGAAACGGTTTATGGGAGCGGTCGTAAAAGATGAATAAGAGAGACAGAGAGAGAGAGAGTCGGCGAATGCTTCTGTCTGTCTGTAACGAACGGGAACATTCTGTTACTTTGCAAAAAAAAAAAAAAAAAAAACTCGTATAATCGATGTTCCAAGATGAATCTCGCGATATGTTTCATCTCGCTGAAATTCCGGCGAAAAGACCGAGCGAGGAGAATAAAAATCGCGCGTTATAATATCGCTGATGATCCTTGCGCCGTATAAATTACGTAAATTAACGACTCCTACGGAAAATGAGATAATTCGAGCCACTCGTCGTCTCTCTGTGCTTTAAAGTCGAGTGGCGAGAAACGCGTGGGAAGAAAGCTGGCTACTCGAGGCATCACAAAAGAACGGAGAAGAAAACTGAACTTTATCCTGTACTTTTCACTCTCTTCTTCTCTCCTTCCGCGGCGCTTGTACCTCTCGTCTTTTTTCTTTTTTTTTGCTCTTTTCTCTTTTTTTTATTCCCAATGTTTCCTACGAAGAGCAAACAGGACGTGAACGCAAACGTCACGGCGGTATAAATAAATGATGCTTCGCAAACGAGAAAAGAAAATATTTTGCTTGAAAGAAACATTATCGATTCTCTTTACACGTATTTTTTTGCACAAGCTTTGCCAATTTTGCAGATGTAATAAAAGTATATCTTGCACGAATTTCTCGGATCCCTCGATTTTCCTCAATTCTCCCATAAATTCAATGTCACACATTCTCTTGAATATAACCAAGCGTGGCAGAGGAAGAGAAAGGGAGTCTTGGGATTATAGCAAGAAGTAATTTTGGGCAACGATAGCACTGGCGCATGCCGCAAACCAAGTCTGAATATTTCAGACAATTCCCGAATGTATCGGCTTGGTTTCGCTTCTCTACCTCTCTCTCTCTCTCTCTCTCTGCTAGTCGCGTTAATTATTCGGCATGCGGATACCGTAGGGCACGTCACGGCAAAGCAAGAACGTAATTTCGGCTTGGCCAGCAGTGACCGAACGATGTTACATCGCACCAGTCTATTGGCTTGGCGGCTTTTGCCGGTGTGTCACGCGCCACGTGAACCAACTAAATTTTCACAGAAACCGAGAGCTTATACAGGGTATGGCATGTATCTATACGTCGTACGTATCCTACGTCGCGCTACCGCAATCGTGATCTAATTATTTAAATCACGCACGTCATTGGAACAGATCGATGCGAATGTATTCGTTACGTGCGCAATTCGGCGCAAAATAATATCCCGACGTGTCTCCGTTCTCTCTATCGGACGATCCGCCAACTTTTAATGTAAAAAGTGTGTCGAAACTTTTCTCCGTCCGAAACTACGAAAATAAATCGGGGGAAAAAATGTTGCGACACTCCAGCAGCTGGAAAGATACACTTTCGAAAACGCTGCAGTTGATGAGAAATTGTGTGTTATATATAATAGTATGCAAGTTTCGCGAATTCTTTCGTGCTGCAAGTTGATGATCGACCTTGAAACTTGCGAGACGAATTGCGGATGCGGGTCTAGGAATTTTCGCATTCGCATTCCGGAAGGGAACTCGAGAGATTACGCACTCATCTCGAGGGCGAGAGACACGCGTGTTTCGCTAATAAGAGGCGAGATTTGCGGTCGACAAAGTAAATTAAACGGATATTCGCGGCGACAAGGATCACCGCTAAGTAAGCACGAATTAACATCCCCGAGAGGACATGCCGAAGTTAACGGCGAGACGTTAACGGAGAAGCTAATGCAAACAGTCAAGAGACGCCCCGATCGTCTTGATCGAATGCCGATTCCGATATACTACTCCTTTATGTGTGTATATAGGTACAGCGTTCCAATATCATCTCGGAAATTTGCGTCTTCCTCTCTTGGCCGGAAGGAATTTCCCCGATTCGTAAAATATAATAAAATAAAACGAGGGAAAATATTCCGGCGATATCAAGGAAATTACCTTGGAGTACAATCTTCTTTCATTCATCGCCCACGGAATTTCGCGTATGAATAGAGACTTCGTAAAATTGTGCTACAAAATACAAGTATCGGAAAAAATTACCTCGTCTTTTATGGATTGTCATCCCGCTGCGAGATCGATTTTTTTTTTTACGAGTAGAAAATTTTAGCGCTTAAAAATTCTTTAAAAAATTTAAATGAAAAAGAAAAAATCTTTCGCCGATATCTTTATTGCACTTATTGCATCCTCCGAGTAATAGTCTCCCTATTTAAAACGAGTTTAGCGCTATCTCGATACTTAATGATTAGGATATATCCGCGTAAACCGCGATGAGGCCCGCCACATTGGCCTCGCGTTTTTCTTTTAATCCGATTAAGCAGCTGCGGCCAACGACAATTTCCCTCCGCTGTTTAATAATCGGTTTTCGCGTTTGCAGTTAACAATCTGCTCATCGTGGCGTTAAAGCGGATTTTCGTCGTGCGTTCTCGTTGATTATCGATAAGCACCGCTGGCGTTTCCGCTTGAACAGCAGGAGGATGTCATCGTGGACGGCCGCGTATATGCGCTTTTAAAAGCGCTCATGGCTCTGTTTCCATTCTCCTTCTCTCTTTCGCAATTTATTCCGCTCGCGAAATTTACGGCTCGTCGACAGTAACGAATCGGGGAGATATTTTTTCGGGTAAATGTATCGCGGTTGTTATATCGTGGGTATTACACGACGGATGTCATTGTCTTACACAAGTACATTATGCATATATATGTCATAGGCATATATGTGTGTGTGTGTGTGTGACTTTACAATGCGTTTGTCACATTTTTTTGTCGCATAGACTTTTTGCCGCTCTTTCTCGGACGAATATACGTCCTTCGCATTCATGCGCGTTTTTTCTCCCCATCATATTTATGACGCGCAGACCCGAATATAAGCCTCCTCGGTCCAAGTCTCTCTCCCTTTTTCTCTCTAAGTATCACGTCCGAATAGTTTCAGGGCGATTTCCATCAGAGGCAAAGTACCAGACTGAGCAGTATGTTCGCTGAACGAAGTAACCGACTGCAAGGCTACGACGACGACGACGACGGTCTCGACTGTGAAACGGTGCATAAAAATGCACTTACTTAGCCGCATATAAATCGATCCGCTCGCTGTTTACGCCGCTACAAGGTGGTGCATAAACTCACCCTCTCCACCCTCGAACCCCCTTGCGACCGCGTCGTGTGACGATAGCAAGTATAATACCTCCGTGAAGGAAA